CCCCCCCCCCCCCCCCACATCTCGCCACTTTCATGGCGGGGCACCATAATGATTAGTGCATGCATTTTCCAACTGCAATCTTAGGAGTCTCGTAGCAGTTCAGATCTGCCCGCTGTGCAAATCCCCAATTCACAGTCCTCACATCTCTTCACCCTTTTCTGGTCTGTCCAAAAGTGCATCTCCAGTCAGGATTTTTTAGCTATGTACACAGAATTTGACAAGTGGCACTAATTCTTTATGTATTCTTGGAAAGTCTACTTTAACTAATGTATGTACCTCTCACTTCGACAGAAATAGGACAGAAACCTGCGCTCTAGAATCCTAAACGCTACACTTTGCTCGTACCTTAGTTTTAAGTCTTCTTTTGCTTACTTCCTTGCTCTAACTACATTACACCTTCCATAACCTGCAGTCGCCTCTTTCCACTTTTGCAGTTTTTTCTCAAGAACACCTCTTCAGTCTGACTACTTATTTACATTAGAAAACAGTCAGAGGGGCGTTTGTTATAGTAAGAGCATGCTTTTCCGCAACATGTCCTCACTTAGTGCCATTTTCGACTCTTCTGCACACAGCGAAAAGTCGTAATTGAGTGGGTATTTCTGAACAGACCAGAGAATGTTTAAAATCTTGTGAGTACTGGCGAGAACATGAGTTCTATGGGGAGTGGGAACGAATCTCTTCTAGATTTGTGAGAGTACTGCTGCATATTGCACAAACTATCCGCTTCACTACGCGCTTACGCCAGATTGACCTTATGAAGTAGTAAAAAGATTACAGCAGCATTTTGGATATTCGGCCATTAGAATCTAGAAGAAGTAAATAGATGAGTTTGAAACTATCGAAAATGAATCAGGCGGTGTCAAAAATCTCTATACAAAAAGTGCAGTAGAGCTCATGATCAAAAAAGTATTTTTGGAGGTGGGAACCACTGACTGCAGCAGCGCTCGCTTTTTAAGTTTAAAAAGCGAAAATAGCAAGTCATTCGCAAAAGCAGAGTATACGGCAAAATTTCCCATCTTACTTTACAAGTATAAAATGACACATAAAAAACTTTCAGTATAATTCAAATCCCTCAAAGCTGACTTTATACTAAAAAGTGAAGAGCAATATAGTGAGCTGTTTGAGTTTTGCCAGCCAAACGTCTTTTGGTTCAG